TCCTGCTGAGACCTAAGCACTAGGCTATTCAGAAAATAACTATTAATAGCCTTGTTCAAGCTATTCAAGAACTAAAATGCTGCTTGCAAAGCGTGGTGTGTTTGATTAACTGAAAAGTCTATAAAGTTTTGCTTGGCAACAGAAAGAAATGAGACCAGTAGTGCAACAATCTGAATCTTTGTATTTTAATCGGGATTATTACACAAGAAACTGGTCATTCTTTTGAAATTTCTGCTAATTCCGGTTCACATACTTACCCTGGACTACCACAGTGAGAAAGAGAAGTGAGAGCCTTTGAAAATACATTCCCGTACTTCACCTAAGTATGTGTAGAATTAGCTTTTAGATACTTTTGGCATTCTTTCATATAAAGACTGCCAGATTTGAAAAACCTATTTACTGCCTTTTCTCCTCTTTGACTGAAACTTGGCTTTCAGTGGTGATTGAGTAACTCTAGTGCTAAAACTTGTGTTTTCTAAAAGTTTCAAGGATTTCCTTACTGTTGACTTTATTTTTTCCTGTTATCTCCTACTTAACAACTTGATACTTACTTTTCTTGAATTTCAGGGAACTTAAAAGACTATGAAATACTGTGACTTGACTGCAGCAGTAAAAACCAAATCAGTTTAGACTGAAACTTTACTGAAATGTTTTGTCAAAAATTAACTCAAATTTTTGTCATGTGAGTGACCTGTGTGTGAATCTAGCTGCCATCAGATTTTTGTATGATTATTAATTTATTATGTTTTATAGCTATTTTAGGTAACGGTAAGCTTGAAGTCATGGCCGGAAAACCGAAACTTTACTACTTTGATGGAAGAGGCAAGATGGAGTCAATTCGCTGGTTGTTGGCTGCAGCTGGGGTCGAGGTTTGTTTTAGCCTTTTTAACTTTAAGCTGCATGTTGGTAAGCTTGTATTTGAGGCACATCACAGGTTATTAACCAAAAAAGAAAAGGCATCCCCAAGGCACAGTAGTAAATGAGCATTGGCTGTTCAGTGTAATTAAACACTATTGCTTTAGGGACACTAAAGTATGGCTTCAAGTTACATGTCTTCTGAGCAATGACACTGTAAGCCAGTTTCTTGCCTTATGTAAGAATGTGTAATGCTTAATTAAGCATTCCATTACTGACCCAGAACTGTTGAGCTGAATGATAGATGTGTTCCTGGCACAACAAGTAGTACCTGTGCCAAGTAAAACTGCAACGCGTTCGCTTTCTCTGGTCTTTCTGTTTGCAGCTGGATGCTCGCACACCAATTTTGAATTTATTTTTCACTCCACTGGCTGCATCCTCAACAGCTATAGCACGAAATATATTTTGTCTTACTTGCACCATTTAGATAAAGCTTAAAAGGGTGAAGTGAGCAAACTGACCCACATGTACAGGGAAATTAGAAATCTCAGAGCAGGAAGAAAAATATTTGGGTAAACTAGAGAAACAAGACACCACTTTAAAGGAATTTTTTTTGATGGCATATAATTTACTTATTAATTTGCCATCTATCTTGGTGATAAACTGATAATTCAGTCTGGGGACAGAAAGGACTAGCAGTTGCGCCAGGTGTCCTCTTTCATATAGTAAGCTGTTACACTTCATACAGTTGCCCCTGTACTGGGACAAGGAATCTGAGTTTTTTTAAAAAGACCACCAGTCTTTATTTGAAGACCTTTCAGAAGATACAACTAAATGCTTTCCCGTATCGTTTGTTCCTATGTTTTAATTCCCTCTTCTTTTTTTTTTTTTTTTTAATGTAAAAAACCCGCTGTTGATGGGTACCAATTATTACATTTTTCCTTGGGATATTCTTTTCTCAGCTTTTCATCAGGAGAAACCTGAGTTCTGAATGTTAGACTCTGTGATCACAGTTACTATGGCTGAACATTGGCACTGTATTAGTATGCCTAATCTTCTGGGGTTTCCCTAGTAGAGCAACTCTTAATTATTAACCTGAGTTGCACAGGTCTTCTGAGAGAGGCTGACTGAGGAAGCATCCTTGGGAGTCCATAGCTAGGCATCTGGGGATTGGCAAGATCAATCATTTTCTAGACTGCATGGTCTACATTGACTATGGACACGGATGGGATGTGGAAGCATGTACATGTAGACATGTGACTTTGGTGTCTTAATCTTGAACTCAGTTCCTCCATAAGTAGCACTGATTGGACCAGTCACCCTCGACCATGTTGAATATGACTACATCATTCTGATCACAGGCAATTCTGTATCTTTTTGTTTCTCACCTAGTGAATAATTCATTTGTAGGTGTCCTAAACATGCTTCTGTACCAAACTTCCCACTGAGCACAATACTTTTACATTCTTTTGCAAAAGCTTTTTTTTAACTTTCTAAGATTTTGTTCGTGTCTAGCTCCCAAATCAAAATACCCCACAGCAGAGCTTTTTTCCACATACCAGAAAGCATTTTAAGGACAGCCTAGTCTGTGTTCTTGACTGTCTCACATTAAATTGCCTCTTCAATACCAAACAAACCATCCTCACTCCAGTTCTTATTGCCTGTTTTTCTGCTAGGGTTGCCTGTAGCAGCATTTGTCAAATATGACAGTCCAAGAGGTTTTGCCAGTGCTTCTGCCCTTGGTATTCTCTCCCTTTGAGCCATATCTGGAATGGAAGGAACCATGATGTATATTCTCTTCCTTTTATGATGCTTAAAGAGTTTATCTGTTCTAGAAGTGTGAAAAGATGCTCATTTCCTCTTCTTCCATATTCTCTTTTGTCAGTTTGAAGAAGAGTTTTTGGAAACCCGAGAGCAGTATGAGAAGCTCCTGCAAGGTGAGTCCATGTGAAACCTCAAGAAAAGTGTGACCAGTGTTGGCTTAATCTCAGAGAAGATGTGTGAAGAGAAGACTTTGAAGACAGTGTGGGACTTTCTTTCCAAACAGCAGAGAGGGGAGTAAAACTGAGAGCTGTGAACAGCTGCAGAGGCTGATTTTTTTTGTTCCCATACGTGGACAGATGCAGTTGAAAACTGAATGTCTTTCCAACCTGGAGAGTTTCCCAGGCCTCTGGGTTGTTCTGTTCTCTGTTTGTCAACGTGTCCCACCTGGTCCCACAAACTTACCCTGAGCTTCAGTAACTTGCAAAAACATATCCTAAAACTTCATTGAATGTCCTGATTTAGCTTAAGATACTGGTTGTAAGGGAGAAATTTTGTAATCTGACATTTGCTTCAGCTATGTTTTAAATAATGAAACAATTTTTTTTAAAAATGTATTTAGAATTAGACATTTTTTCTCACTTGATATGTTTAGTGTGATTGTCTCCAGTGTATTTTAATTTCAGCATGAAAGCTGCTGTACACAGCCCTGACTGCAACTTCAGTGAAAATTTTTTTAAAGCAAGGATGTTAATCCACAATGATTGTATTCTGTGGTTTAATTTGTCTGCACCACTGTAATTTATTGTTTGCATGGAAGAACCCCAGTTTAATACAATGACTACCCGCTGCAAGCTCACCATAAAAGTAATGATATTCTCAAGACAGCAAGAAAACTGACATGGAGTTACTAGAGCCAGTAGAATAATGTTTGGCTTTCCCTTTAGGTGGATCCCTGCTGTTTCAGCAAGTGCCAATGGTGGAGATTGATGGGATGAAGATGGTGCAGACTAGAGCCATCCTCAACTACATAGCAGCAAAGTACAACCTCTACGGGAAGGACCTGAAGGAGAGAGCCCTGTACTGTAACAGTACTACTCTTTAATTTATTATTGTAGCTCAGATACATCTTGAATTAATTGCATACTTGCACACCCAGAGAATCACCTGTGTTCCTCAGTGACACACAACTTCCCGTGAGCCTGGCAGGCCACAGTTAGATGCAAGCCAACTGATTTGTTTTCAATTTTGATTCAATTATTTTTACGTAAAAATATTTGAGGCAGGGATTTATTGTGCAAGATTAATACAGCTTGACACAGCTATTTGAGAGGTGACTGGTGTGTAAATGTTGAACTACTTCTGTAAACAGAAAACTTTTTGGAAAGCAATGGTTAATTTTTAACTTTGGCTGCAAAATAAGATCTGTCATGGACGTTATCTGTGATTGCATGATGTTCTGCAGCATTGTAAAAAGTGCATGGCTTATCAACTTTTGTGTTCTTAATAAGACATCATTTCCTGTGGCTTGTGTTGCTTGCATACCTCTTCCTTCAAACAGAATTCTCCTCCATCAAGTTTTAGGTTTAGCCTGGCGCCTATTCATCTGTTTTACCAGCAAATGTAAATGAATTGTGTTTGTTGATTTGTTCCTGGGCATGGGGGAGGGAGTATCAGTGTTTTGAGGAAGGTTTCATAGAATCATTAAGGTTGGAAAAGACCTCAAGGATCATCAAGTCCAACCGTCAGCCCACACCACCTAACTCACTAAACCATGTCCCTAAGCACCACATCGACACGTTTCTTGAACACCTCCAGGGATGGTGACTCCACCACTTCCCTGGGCAGCCTGTTCCAATGCCTGATCACTCTTCCAGTGAAGACATTTTTTCTAATATCCAGCCTAAACCTCCCCTGGTGCAACTTGAGGCCATTTCCCCTTGTCCTATCACTTGTTACTTTAGAGAAGACCCACTGCACCCTCCTTTCAGGCAGTTGCAGAGAGTGATGAGGTCTCCTCTCAGCCTCCTCTTCTCCAGACTAAACAACCCCAGCTCCCTCAGCCGCTCCTCGTCAGACCTGTGCTCCAGACCCTTCACCAGCTTCGTTGCCCTTCTCTGGACCTGCTCCAGCACCTCAATGTCCTTCTTGTGGTGAGGGGCCCAAAACTGAACACAGGATTCAAGGTGCAGCCTCACCAGTGCCGAGTGCAGGGGCACAATCCCTGCCCTAGTCCTGCTGGCCACACTATTGCTGATACAGGCCAGGATGCCGTTGGCCTTCTTGGCCACCTGGGCACCCTGCTGGGGTTGCTGTGATTGGCTCTGGGTTTAAGGACTTGCAACAGCTCATCTTGTAGAGTGTGGAAGGACAGTTTTGGAAGACTGGATAGATGCAGGCGAGAAGCTGGCATACACTATGGCTTGCAGGAATATCTGATGGCTTCTTATTGCACATAACAAGTTTAATCCTTACAGAGGCTTTTTTGAGAAGCTGTTGCCAGAAAACAAAACCTGCATTTAGCCTTATTACAGAGCAGGAACTCAAATCTTGTATGACGTAGGATGGTTAGAAGACTTTGTCGGACTATTTTACAATATATCTTATGGATGTTCATGAGGGCTTAATTTAAATTTGAGTCTTGTCTACAGTACAAAACCTGCTGTCAGAGCTCTGGAAAAATGGATAAAAGGGATGATCTGAAGCACTGCTATACTAATAATTTAAATAGATGTAGAACCTGCTACACTTCAGGTTTCCAACCCCATTATTAATCTACTTGGCACCACTTTGACTTTGGATGAAACCCTAATGGTGGGATACATCCAGACGTCTAAGCCAGTTGGGGATGACTCTTCTTGTGGTGCTGTGTGTTTCTTTGGTGATTCTGAAGTGATCTGCAACACCAAAGTTAAACTTTTTAACCTTTTTTACAATCCTGTTTAATCCTGCACAGTGAGGCAAGTAAAGTGCCAACAACGATACAAATGTGAGTGAGACTCAGACGGTGACATATATTTTTTGGTAACTGCAAAAATAATTTTCATGGGGGGGTGGGAAATTCAACTTTCACTATCAGAATACAAATTTAAGAAAACTCTGCTTATGAGGATGCCTTCTTATTTATGGGTTTTGTTTGCTTTGGTTTTAAGGATTGATATGTATGTTGGAGGAACCGATGACCTTATGGGCTTAATGTTGATGTTCCCATTCTTATCAGCTGAGGATAAAGAGAAACAACGTGCTGTTATAGTTCAAAAGGCGACAACCAGATATTTCCCAGCATATGAAAAGGTATGTAGGACGATCATTTCCTTCCATTGTTCTGGAAGGATAACAATGGGCTCACTAGGTATTTTACCAAAAGCAGAAGGAACAGAAAGGTGTCAGTGCAGTACTTTAAACCAGGACACCAAACTGTCTGCAGGCTGGAGAGATGTGATGGAGGTCAGAGCAGTATCGGAGAAGTTGGGGTGGGTTAAATGCAGAAGTTCCTAGGTGAGATTTCATGGTCCGAGTAGCATGAACATTCAGACTGAAGGGTCCAAGTATCCCCTTTGTCTCAAAACTGTTATGATCCAATGAATGTGTAAACATAGCTATATACAGTTAAATTAGCAACTTCCTGTTTTGGGGAGAAATGAAACTGTGTAACTTGAATTGAAACAGCAATGCAGTTTTACAATAGCTGATTGTCAACTTTGTTTAACATTTCAAATACACTTACATGTGGTTTTAACCACAGTAATACACAGCTATCACTGCTGTCTTCTGGTCTGAGTGGTCTGCTGCATAAGCCATACTGGACTCGTGGTGTTTCTCAAACTGATCCTTTGAGAGACAGGATCACATAGGTGCTCTCAATGGAAATCAATATACACAGGCAGGATAATCTGGCAGATATAGCTGCTTTTCTGTTTTAAAGAGTAAAGGGAAGACAGTTTCGCACTTAAATAGCTCTCCTATAGATGGCTGCCAGAAGTCTTTCTGCCCTAGATTCCACTTGCTGTATGCTAGTCCCAGCACTTTAGGCTGATCATCACTCTTCTACATTCTGTATTCTCCCATTGAAGCTGTAAATACCTACAGAGAAAACAAAAATTTATTAGTCTGGAAGGGAGTGAATACCAAGGGGGTATCTAACCCTGTAGTCCAGATGTGGGGTTACCTAGGGCTATAGGAAGGAAGGATGGGTAAAGAGAAACCCTGGGATTCTGGATTGCCACTGTGAGGACTGCTCATAGATATCCTGTGAAATGATCAGTGACTGCAGGCACTGGGCCCACATCCCCTGCTCTAGTAGTATCCCTAGTTGCATGGGAGAGAAAGGTGAAAAGAAGAGGGGACAGTAAGCATTGTTGAAAAAGGTGTGCCTGTGCATTTTGATAACGTCAGCCCCTGCTGGCTATCCACAGCTGAACATTTTCATTTATGACACTGCTAGGTTTTGAAAGACCATGGGCAGAACTTTCTTGTTGGCAACAATTTTAGCTGGGCAGATGTTCATCTTCTTGAAGCCATTTTAATGGTAGAAGAGAAGAAGTCGGATGTGCTCTCAGGCTTTCCTCGGTTACAGGTACCATACACTCATAATACACTCACATGGCTGGAAGTGTGATAAATGATGTTTCAAAGTTTGTTGTGTGTAGGTAATTCCACAAAACAAGAGCATTTGTCACTCCTCTGTCATTGTAGTCTTGCTCTGCTTGCTTTAGGAAGAACCTCATAATATGTTTCATCTAGAGAATCTGTTATTTTCTGGAGTAACCCCTGTACAGGTCTGAAGAAATCTACCCTCCCTTTTTTTCCCTCCCCTCACTAGTTCTGTGATACCTTTAAGCAGCAGATATTTTCTGGATGACAGGAGGTGATGTGAGTTAAGTACACATCTGAAACCACAGATTACCGTTTCTTCTTCACCCCATATCGACATAAGACAGAGGGCTGTTTTATTATTGTTTAAAATAACAAGCTTAGGGTGAGGGGAGTAAAATTCATCCATGGTTAAAACTATATTTTGTCTTGCCTCCACATACATCTTGTTAAAGGATGTTACAGAAATCAGTAAAATTGTTTTTTCTGGTGTTACTTTCTGTTCTTTAAATACCATGTACTTACTGTTTACCTTTTAGGCGTTTAAAGCAAGGATAAGCAGCATGCCCACCATCAAGAAATTTCTAGAGCCAGGAAGCCAGAGAAAACCTGTTTCTGATGATAAATACGTGGCGACTGTCAGGAGAGTTCTCCTCATGTATTAGCAAATTAGTGTGCCTGGCTAAAAGAACAGCTGTGCTCAGTTTAAGGCTACTATCAGATTGTACATGTGCAATTATACTTCAGAGAGAAGGTGAAGGGGAGTTTCAACGGGCAGTATCTCCTGTTCTATCATACAAAATACAGTAGGCAGGTATCTTTTATAACACTTTACTACTAGCCTGTTTTTTTCTTTCATTCTTGATGAAAAAATTTTGTAATTTTAATTTTTGGTAATTTTTTTGTAAATTTAATTTTAATTTTTTGTAATTTTAAGCAAATTTGAATTTTAATTTTTGGTAATTTTAAGCAAATGAAATGGCAGCAAGCATGCTGTCTTCCTGGAGACTTTTTGGAAGAGCAAAAAAGAAAGAATTGGGAGTTGCTGACTGACACCTTCAGCATGTTCTGTTACTTCTGAGGACTTTCTTCTGAGATCTAGATCAGATTTTTGTATGACAATTGCTTCTAATTCAGGCCTTTATTGTTTTTAATATCACCGTAGGCAAATGAAACAAGTGGTTTTTAAAGAGAGTTAGGGGGGAGGTGTTTCTCTTGCCAGTTCTATTGGGCATCAGTGACTTGTGTGGAATGTCAGCATTGTGCCTTTATATCTAAGCTGCACTTTAATTGATGAATTAGGAAACAAATTGACTGACAAATGCCATTTCAGTGTAACTGCTATATTTAGAGGATCTGTTCTAATCAAATAAACTTTTTATTTTTATGTGATCATATTGTGATGTTGTGTCATGAATTAATGTTGGGGCTTGCTAACTTAATTTTTACTTTTCTTGGAGGATAAATTCTTTATATTTTATATGAAGGGGATCCTTGTTAACCATATGTCTCATGCAAGCATTTAATTTGCAAACCCAGAGAAGGGAGATGTGAAGGAGAGGTAGTAAACCATCACACAAACCTAGTTTAGTTCCTGTCTAAGGTCTAATACCTACCAAAATAAAAAATGTTATTTCTCTTCCTCTCTTTTTTCTTTTAATCTATGGTTTCATCAGATGACTTGACAAAGAAATTTCAAATGTTTTTAATCACTTTCATAAATGGCATTTACGCTTTGAAAAGCTGCTCTGTAGGATGTCATCTTGGGGTTTCATATCTGTTCTTTATGGTTCTTTATTAATGATATAGTTTACAAGAAAAGACTGGTGCTCAATGCCTAATGCCATTGTTTAATTCCTGTGTTAGCTATGGGTTGAGAAATAAGATGCTGCTTCACCTTGGAATGCAGTGAGTACAGTTGTCTGATAGTTGATGAATGAGTTGCCCATTTGAGAGCTCATCAGTCTCTCCCCAGCTTCAACGTGGCTGAAGTTCTCAGCGCTATGAATACCTTTCCCTCATTGTCAGGAATACAAGGTTTATATTGACCTACGCTGGCTTATCTGTCACCTGCCTTCCTAATGTCAATTGCAATTACAGTTCAGTCCTTGGTTTAATTTCAGATTGGTTTAATAAGAAAGTTTGGAAAACTCTGTAGTTGTTGATCTTAATTCCTTTGCTAAGTGATTTTTTTTTTCCAGATTATGAGGCAAGTTGTGGTGTAATGCTCTTCAAACAAACGTTCCACAAGCAAAGATGCAGAAGATAAGTGACTGACTGACAGTACTTGTTGGTGATAAGCCTAAGAGCTCCTGGTCATGCCTTTTAGTAAATAGGGTGGCACAGCAGCAATGAACATGAACAGAAGAACAGTTGATACTGAGACCTTGTCAACAACACTGTGCGTGTTTGGGGACAGGGTTACTTCAGCCTAGCTCAGGAGTGGCTGTGTGAACCGAATGCCATTTAAACTGCATTAGGTGCACTCTTGGAGCACATCTTTCAGTTTAATTTATCCAGAAAGAATCCGGCTTGTACAGTCCAAGATCACACTGTGATGGGAGCCAAAGCACAGTTAAGGTTATTTTTTATTTATCTTCTTGCTTTAGTTTGAGGTGAAGACACCTACATGTGTTCATATATGAGCCAGTGTGCATATCTCCATATAACACCTACAGCCATTTTTGCTTATGCTGTCATTGCCAGGCTACATGGTGTGACACAATGTTGTGAGTTAACCCCGTTTAAGGATGTAGCATTTCTTATTTGGATATTTCCGTACAGGTTTTTCAGTTTAGTTCCTAGCCTGTACACTGTGATAGGTCTGTAGACTATATCGTGATCTTCCAAATTCTGGGCAAACTAGGGAGGAAATCAGTTTACATCTAAGTCTTTTGAAAAGATACCCAGACTGATATCCTTGAGTCCTGGTACAGCTCTCCAGCAGTAATTATTTAGGTCTTTGTCTGACTTTGGTAATGCTTTTAAGACACATCAGAGCACTTCAGTTCTGTTACCAGCCTTCAAGACAGTAGTAAGCAAAGATACACAGACATTTGTTGCTCTTTCTACTATGTCTCTCAATGTTGGTGGTCCAATAATTCGTGGCTCAAAATTACTTAAGAATGCATAATAACCTCAGGAATAGTTTCACTCTTAACTGTCCCAAAGCACTTAAGTGTTAGACAGGCAGTTTTGATGTATTTTCCAAGAAGGCCTTGGGTTTGTCTTCAACCCTTGCTCTGGTAAGACCTATTTATGTACAAATCAGCCTGCAGCATCATTCTGATAGCCAGGCAAAGTCATGCTTAGCAGGTTGAAGGGCTGTGCATCAGGAAAGATGACCTCAGGCTGCAGCCACCTTTCCTGTGACCCAAAACACTGGGATAGAGATACAGCATGCTGTTAAATGCAGGCCAGGAACAAAGACATTTTGGCATTGGGAGGTGACTGTTATGGAGGTAAAACAAAAAAATTCTTACCTTAAAATATATCTTTTTTGAATTATGCATTTCTGTGCCTAAGTACTGCAATAGCGATAACTGCATTGTATAGGAAGCATAGTGATGACTCTCTCAGAGATCAGGAAAGTATCTAGCTATAGGCATCACTTCCTAATTGTAATGCAGAACTGGGGACAATTGTCTGATAATGCTGCAGGTTCCAATCCGTCTATGTTGCTTGCCCTACAACTACTACTTTCCGTTTCAGACCAATTTCTACACTGCAGGAGAACCATTTAATCTCACACCTGGAACTGTGATCCAAGAGAAGATGGAATGGAAATGTTTTCCTTTCTGTCAGGAGAAAAAGAGCTTCAGCTCACCCTTCAGCCTTAGATGTCATAGCTGAGCGTATATGACCCCAGCTGTGCCAGCCTACTCAGATTCACGTTAGTTGAATCATCCCTCCACTCACTTTCTCAAGGAAGTAACTACCTTATTTAACTCTTGCTATTATTCAGCAGACAGTTCTTCTGTAGGAGATCTTTACTCAAGGGATGATCTGGGAGAGAACTATTTGTTCTGGATTCCTTTGAAAACCTGCTTTGGACAATTATTTCTGGGTGTTTCTCTAAGAAGGGGTTGCATGGAGACAACTTTGAAATGAGCAGCGTAACTCTCTGCAGAGTATCTCATCGTTTAAGTTCTCGCAAGCAAAGCATGTCCACACAACAAAACAGGTGCAGCAGGAGTGTGTGTATCTCAACCTTATTGAAACAAGCACACTGTTTATTTGCCTGGTGCCACGGTACTTTCTTGCTAATAGTAACAGGTGCTAATATGAAGGGGTGCAGGGTTGAGGCTAGGGAACATACATCTCCAGGATCCCGGGGTCATTTTTACCCTGTGAAAGCGACAGGGTAAGACTTCACTAGTTGGACAGTGTCCTGGTCCTCTCCGAAGCAAGAGGGATGCCTCTGCAAGCCAGACTACTGAAGAGCAGTGCATAGCTTTGGGAACCAAAGACTGGTCTGTTTTTTCTGCTCATTCCTGTGTAGAAGACCAGGAATCTCCACATTCAGCAGTGAAACACAGCCGCATCAACACTTCTCTAGCATGAGTGTATTTACTGTATTTTACTCATCACAACTTCATTATCTTGTACATAAAGACCATACACAGTTTCAGCGTGGTTCTCAAGCACACCACAGCCTTCTTTCAATACTCCTGCTGTGGCAAGGGCAGTTCAGTTCTCTGTATCCATACCTTCAAGTTAACCTCCTGCTGTGCAGGCTGATGAAAAGAGGCTTACATATGTGTAAGTGAGATGCTGCCTTTGTGACGTGAGCACGGAGGTCTCTAGAGCTGCTAATTAGCTGGGCAAGATGAGAAAGCTGTTTCATAAGAGAAGAAATGGACTTGTGGTCAATAAAACCTATTTCTCCTTGTCTGAGAAGTATAAATAAATCTGGTGTTATAAAAACAATGACCAAAACAACTTTAAAAAGTCTCTTGGGATGGAGTTGATTTAAAATGTTTTCAAGTGATCAATTTTAATCTTCCTTTTATTGAAAAAAATTCTTTTATTGGGAAAAAAGAAATTGTTGTCCAGCTTTATAATTGCTCATCAGATAAAAATAAGAGTGAAATTTCTGCTTTACTTCTTTAGACCTCCTTTTGAAAATAAAGATTCTTTAAACCTTATTTTAGATTATTATCAGGTTTAGTTGTAACAATGCACATACACTGAGAGTCTTAGAAGGTTTCACAGCACACACCAGAGACCAAACAGAGGAAACATGCACTTATGCAAGCTACTAGCAAAATATGAAGTCATTATAATACAAGAGTTATTTAATATAAATATTTCACAGTCAAATTTGTACTATTAAGGTTATTTTTCAGTTGGCTTTGAAACTTTGATCTTGAGTATCTAGTGTATATGTAAATCAAGCTTTTGACCATGTTGAGATACTTAGATCAATAAAGTCTACTCTAGACAAGTTATAGATAAAAGAAACCTCATACAATACATTTAGATATCAAAGGAGGTTTATAATTACATGCTGAAAAACTGTGCTAGAAGCAAAATAAAATAAAAATAGAAAAATAAAGAGAGAACAAGGGGAAAAGTTTTTCTGTCAAACAGGAATGTGTGGAAGGGGAACAACAGTTGAAGTTGGATGCGGCCATGTTCAGCAAATCCAAAAAGCATCAGAATAGAATACTTTGCTTGGTTAC